CTCAGTGTGCACGCGGGAGCCAGGGGCCTTGCGTGCCCGTGGCCGGGGTCTGGGGGCTGAGGGGACTGGGACCTAGCACTGGGCTCCTCCAGAGGTCACTGACAGAGGCCTGCAGCCCCAGACCCTCAGCCCATGGGGTGGGAGTGTCTGTGTCCTGGCCACTCCTAGAAGCTTCTGTCCACTCCTCCAGGGCGCGTGGCCCCAGGGTCACGAGGGATGCTTGGAGCCCCTTGGGAAGCAGCTCGGTGCGGCCCAAGGAGGGGAGGTCCTGGATGAGGGGTTCCCACCGCCGGGTTCATTGCTGTACGCGGCCTTGCCTGGCTGCCCTGCGGCCTGGGCCCCACTGTCGAGCCCCGTCCAGGGCAGGCAGCCCGCGTGGCAGGCACAGTGCCGTCAGAACCGAGGCTCCTGGCCTTTCGCCTCGACCCCCAAGACTGTGCCGCTCTTGCTGGCTGGGCCGGAGGGGCCCTCCAAGCCCCCAAGAGCTGTGGGATCCCCTGGGGGCTGTTGGGGCTCGGCCAGGACCACGGTAGGGTGTGGGCCCAGGTTTCCTGCCCTTCGGCTACGGGGGCTCACGTTCTGTTCTCCCCTCGTCAGGTCTGGCGAACCACGGGCAGACCAGGCACATGGTAAGAGGACGGGCTGGCTGAGCGGCTGGGCCTAGCGGGGCCCTGGCTGGTGGGGAGGCCTGGGCGGCCCTGTCGGGCCCTGTGTGGGGAGCACCAGGGAGGCTCAGCGGGACCAGGCGGGGGCCGGCTCCAGCGTGGCCCTGGCCCTCTGCGGGTCCCCTGCCTGCATGCCTCCTGCGGGGACTGCCGCCTCGGGGGTTTCGGGGTGCAGCACGGAGGCCCCCAGGGTGCCCTCTCAGGCCTCCCCTTGCCACAGGGACCAAGCCGGAACCTCCTGCTCAACGGGAAGTCCTACCCCACCAAAGTGCGCCTGATCCGCGGGGGCTCCCTGCCCCCCGTCAAGCGGCGGAGGATGAACTGGATCGATGCTCCTGACGATGTGTTCTACATGGCCACCGAGGAAACCAGGTGGGGGCCTCTCTGAGGCTGGCGGGGGAGGGGGCGGGGGGCCTCCCCAAGCCTGGGGGGGGGGCCAGGGGGCCTCCCCGAGGCTGGCGGGGGGGGGCGCCGGGGGACCTCCTTGAGGCCAACAGGGGTGAGACTGAGGGGGCGGGGGGGCCTCCCCGAGGCCGGTGGGGGGGCCACCGCTCCCTGGTCACCTGCGGGTGGCGCTGCGTCCACAGGAAGATCCGCAAGCTGCTATCCTCCTCGGAGACCAAGCGAGCCGCCCGCAGGCCCTACAAGCCCATTGCCCTGCGCCAGAGCCAGGCCCTGCCGCTGCGGCCGCCCCCACCGGCCCCCGTCAATGACGAGCCCATCGTCATCGAGGACTAGGCGCCCCGCTGCCCGGCAAGGCCACTCCGACCACAGCCCGCGCCCCCGCCCGCCCGCGCCCGTCCCCGCCCGCCCGGTTTTGGTAGTGCTCCCCTCCCGCCCCACCCCTGCAGAGAAACTGCTCCTCCGGGCGCCTTGGGGGCAAGTGCGCTTTCACTTACTCCCAGAAAGCCCTGGAGTCGTTTTTAGCTTTGTGTTTACTTTCTGGCCGGAGCGGAGCTGAGGAGCCGCCCGGTGCCCGCACCCACTGCGGGCCTCGCGTGCGGCGGCAAGTTTCGTTGTGTTCTGTTGAAGGTGCCATTTTAAATTTTATTTTTATTACTTTTTTTGTAGATGAACTTAAGCTCTGTAAACTTACATCTGGAATGTTAGGATCGGCATGGCCAGCGGCCGGCCGAGCTGCCTGGTGGGGTTGGCCCCTGGTCTTTTCAAGTAATTTTCATATTAAAAAAAACAAAGAAAAAAAAAGTTATAAAAAGAAAAAACCAACCAGCCCTTCCTGTGTCTTTTGTCCCGTCCCTCTCCTTGCTGTGAGCCTTGGGGCCGTCCTGTCCCCCCAGCACCCGGCACAGCTCACGTACCGGGCTGGGGCCAAGGGCGGCCTGGCAGCGCGCCAGGCGGGTGGACAGCTCAGGGCGGGAGATTCTGTCTGTTGGCAGGCGGACCCTTTGGGGTAAAGCCTCAGTGAGCAGCATGTGACCCCTGGCTTTCCTGGCCTCCAGGCTGAGCTGGGGTTTCTGGCCTTCTCTCCCCTCTACCCCCACAGCTGCTGGGCTTCCGCAGGGCTGGCCCCGTGCCCCCCTCTCTCCCACGGAGGAGCTGAGACCCCTGTGTCTGGCTGAGGCGGCGGGTGGCCTGGCCCTGGCCTGGGACACAGACTGGCAGGTGCCTGGCTCCCGTGGCCGCATGGCTCCCCCCCCACCAGGGCAGCCAGCACAGCTGGGGCCCACCTCCCTGTCCTGGAAGAGCCCTGCCCCAGCTGTCTGAGGATTTCTGCCCGCAGCCGCAGGGCCAGCCCCTGGCAGGTGTGGAGTTTCCAGAGGGAGAATTTGCTCAGATTTCAGCAAGTACATTGTTTTCAGAAATTCTACCTCCAGCCATCCCTCCGCACCCACACTTGCCGGCCAGCAAGACAGATGTGAGGCGTGTAGCCACTGGGAGCGGTCTGGGGGGGGGACACCTCTCTGTGCCGCCCCAGCTGGGCCCCCCCGGGGTGCGGCTCCCTCCTGCTCCCCCAGCCCCACTGTGACGTGTGCACATCGCAGCTAGGAGCTAAAATAGAAACTACTTGTGCTCCTCCACTGGAGACAGATAAGAGGGTGCTGGTTGCCCTCCTCCAGCCCGTGATGGGGCCCCGTAAGGTGACAGGCCGGGGTGTTGAACAGTGGCCCCACCCAGCCACTTCAGTCTGCAGCCTGGTGCCCCCCCTCCCCCCGTGCCCACCCCAAGACTCAGGCCTGGTGTCTCCCACAGGAGCCAAGCTGGCAAAGTCCAGCTTCCTGGGAGCCTTTTCCCCGACCTGGGGTCTCAGGAAGGGGCAGGGGTCTTCTCACACCCACTTCCTTCCTCCTCAGACCCAGGGGCATTTCCAGTGGGCAAGAGCCATCCCCATGGGGGGCCCACCGCAGAGGCTGCACCTCAAAGCCCCCTGCCCTTCCCAGGCTTCCCATCACCTACCGCCGAGCCCAGCTCTGGGGTCCTCACAGCAGAGCCAAGACGTCCCAGCGTGCTATTTGTCAACGTTGCCAGGACGCCGCGCCACTGTAGCCCTGGGGGAGGGGCCTCCCCACACACCTGGCTGGCTAGCTGCTTCCCTAGAAATCCGAGGTCCTCCTCCGTCCCCCGCCTGGGAGCCTGCCCTGCCCCTGCCCCCGCTGTGGCCCTCAGTGGTCTCAGGGGGACCCTGCTGTTCCGTGTCCATCGATCCAGAATAACGGTCACATCAGGGGGCCTCCTGTCAGGCCCCGGGGCTGTAGCTGGGGGGGCACCTGTCCCCCAGTCTGACCCCCACCATGTCCCTGAGGTGTCTGGCCCATGCCAACACCTTTCCTTGGCTCTGCTCCTCACTCTCCAGGCGGGGCTGGGCCCGGCCCCTCCCACATAGCCTCCTTGTGGAAGATACCCGATGCCCAGTGTCAGCGGCAGTGGGCTGTGACCTGCAGGGAGCCCCATTGCCGGCCTCCCCACCCCCATCACCTGCCTTGCCTGGCAAGGGGCCAGAGTCAGGGTGCAGACAGGAGAGGGGCTGGTCAGGCTGGTCGGTCAGGCTTGAGGGGACCACGTGTTTCTAGGCCGCTGTCCTCACAGGAGTAGCAGGGGCTACAGAGTGTGCATGCAGGGCAGGGGGGCCAGGGGGCTGGCCAAGGCCGGGGCTGCCGTGAAAGTGTAGCTGCTGGAGGGCCTGGTTCTGAGGGCCGTGGGACACTGGCTTGCTCACTCCAGTGTGCAAATATGCCTGGCACCAGGGACCTGGCCGGTGCATCCGGCAGAGGGGAGGAGGGCGGGAGAGGCAGACCTTGGTGTCTGGCACAGAACCTCCAAGATACAGGGTGGGGGGCCCAGGGGCCTGGGTGGGGCTGCCCAGACGGGGTGGGGTCACTGGGCTTGTGGTTCGGTCCATCTGCCAGGCTGGAGGCCCAGGGAAGGGCTTATTGGGAGGTAGAGCCCCAAGGGAGGAGGTAGAGCACCCACTGGGTGGGTAGGGCCAGTTTTCAGGCTCCAGGATGGGGCCAGAGAGGAGTGGGGGGGGGGGGACGAGGCAGGCCCTGCTGGGACTCTGTGGGGCCCTGGAGGGGAGGCCTTGGGGGGATCCCTAGCACTCCTGCTTTGAGGCCAGGAGGCTGGAGGTCAGAGGCCCTGGGCCCGGAGCTAGTGAGTCCAGGGGAGGGATGCAGGCGGACGGCAGTAACACAGAGAGCGGCCGGGGTCATCCCCTTTCCCTCCCCTGTCTACCCGCCTGGGGGCAGAGCGCCTTCCCGCCTGCCTGCCCGCGGCCGGGCGCCCTCCCCCTCCTGCTTCCAGCAGTTTCTCTCCCTCTGTTTTTGGAAGTGCCGGGCGCCCTGCCCTCCACCCACTGAGCCTTCAGCACCATCGACGGTGTCACGCGGGGGCGGGCGGGGCAGGACCAGGCCCGGGCCAGGTGGCCGCGCCCCGCCTGGGATCCGGCTCCGGCTCCGATCCCGCCGCGCGGCCGTTGCTATAGAAACTGAGCAACAAAGGGACACGGGGCGGGGGGCGCGCGGCGGGGTGGGTGGGGTCCTCCGGGGACGGGAAGGGGGGAGCACCCGGCGCCAAGGCCCGGCGTCCGTCTGCGTGTCCAGGGGCCGGCCTTCCGCGCCAAGGCCCTTAACAGCCTGGAGTGGCCCGGAGCCGAGGGGGATGCGGACCCCCGCCCGCCCCGCCCCTGCCCCGACGTTGCCATGGACACGGGCTAGGCACCGGCGTCGGGGCGCCGGGCGGGTGCAGCGGCCTCGCGCCCCCGGCAGGTGCGCCCCCGCCCCCGCGGCGCCCCCCCAGGACCCGGGGAGCGGGCTCCCGAGGCCCCGCCCCGGCCGCGGAGCCAATGGGTGCGCGGGCAGCCGGCGGGCGGGGCGGGGCGGCGGCGCGGTGGCGGCGGCGGGGAGAGGGCGCGGGCTGAGGGCCGACGGGCGCACCGACCATGGCCTCCAAGTGTCCCAAGTGCGACAAGACCGTGTACTTCGGTGAGTGCTGGGCCGGACCAGCGTCCGCTGCCCTTCGCGGTCAGCCCCCGGCCGCAGAGCCGCGCGCCCCGCCCCGGGATGCGCGGCCCCGGGATGCGCGGCCCCGAGCCCGGCCAGGCGCGCTGCCCACGCGGGTGCGGCCGGAGGGTGGAGCTGGACGAGGGGGGGGCAGCCACGCCCGAACCCCGCAGTGGCCGGTGGGGCCCAGCGGGAGTGCGTGGTCCTCCCAGGATGAGGCCGGGTTGTGGGGGGGCGTACGGGGTTCACAGGCGCGGAGCGGGGTGCGGTCGGGGTCGGCAGGGCGCACTCTCTGGGAGCCTCCCGTGCGCTTCTGCCTCTCACGGACCTTCCCGTGGACACGTGGCTGGCCCCCAGCAGTGACCACCCCGCAACCTGCACCTCGACCTCTGCCCACACCGGGCCGGGGTCAGATACGGGCTCTGTCTGGACTCGGTCCCCGCGGGGGCGACCTTGGCCTCCCAACTCCTGCGTGTCCCAACGTGCTCCCTCCCTTGGCGCGAGTTCCCTCAGGACTTTGCTGCGGGTGAGGTGGGATGACATGCGGGCCCCCACAAGCGAGGGCACTGGGGCCCAGATGGCCAAGTGCCCCCTGCCCCTCAAGGTCAGGGCAGGCCGGTCAGGAGTGTGGCAGGTCTGCCAGGACGGCCCCCGGGATGCGGCACCCCCGGCGCTCCCGCCCTGCTGTCCGGCGTGCTCGGCCACTCTCTTCTCTTGGCTGATCCTCTCCTGACTTTGCCAGGGTGGCAAAGTCCCTACCCCCCCGATCCTCCCACCAACACCCTCCTGGAGGGGGCCCTCCAGGACAAGGGGGCCCTTCCCTGGTCGTGTGGGGACGGTGGCCGGGGTCTGGGCTGGGGACAGGCCAAGGTGAAGGAAGCCACTTGGCTTCCCTGCTGACAAGAGGGAGGAGGTGGCTGGTTGTTTGCTGTTCCCGCAGGGGAGGGACCGGATTTGGCCTGGAGAGCTTCTGGCCTGGCCGGGAGCCGAGGGGCTTCCGGCTGGCTCCCCAGTAGCTGCCCTGTCCTCCGGCCCCATCCCAGAGGGCGCTCAGCCCTGTAAGGCTCACAGTGGGGGATGGCCAGCCCCACTGCCCACTACTTGGCCCCCCACCAGGCCAGCCTAGGGCTCTCCAGGGCTGGGCGGGACAGTTGTGTGGACAGCCGGGAAAGTGCCTCTGCCTGCCTGGGCGCTCGCTGGCTCCCAGCAGAAAACAAAGGCAGCTCAGAGGCTGGCTTCTGTCCTGGGCGGAGGCGCTGGTGGGGGCGGGCGGGGGCTTGGAGCTGGGATCCTGCCCATCCCCCAGTCGGGCACCCCATCCTGCTCCCGCGCCAGCAGCCCACACCCTTGAGCAGAGTGGAACCTGGGCCAGGACACCCCAGAGTGACCTCACAACGCTTTGCCTTTGTGTCCCTAACAATGGTGTAGCCCGGTGGGGAGCTGCTTCCCTTCCACGCCAAGAGACCCCATCAATTCTGTCTTCCCAATGGGGCTGGTGACGTGTGGCCATCCCCCCGCACAGTGGAGCCTGAGGGTCATTCCCCTGTCCCCGCACAGCCACATGCTAGCGCTGGCCGGGGCAGCCCTGGCCCGCGGGAGCACAGGGAGAGGGTGCTGGGCTGCGTGGCACCCGACTGCCCAGCGTGCACACGCGGCGGGTGGCTGGCCAGCCTGTCCCAGCACCCTCGGTAGAGTGGCCGTAGGGCTCTAAGCCCCAGCTGCCCCCAGGAAGGGGCGGGCACGGGCGGGGGGCCTGGCGGCTGGCACTGGTCCGGCAGGTCCTGCCAGCGCTACGGGGAGCCAGCACCCAGGACCCCGAACCTGGGCCTCTGGGGGTGGGGAGTGGCCCGGCCAGGCCCTGGGGGAAGCCTGGCCTGCGCAGCAACCGCTCTGCTAGGGGACAAATGACCAGCGGGTCCTCGGGCTCCTCCTGGGGCTCTGCTGTGCGCAGGGCCCGGTCAGCCTGACCTCCTCCCCCCGCCGCTTCTGCCCAGACCCCTTCCCTTCGGAATTCCGGCTTGGCTCCAGCCTTTCTTCCTGCCCTCTACTCCACCGCCCTTTTCCTGCCCTGCTCTCCTGGGGAGGCCCCCCCCACTTCCGTCCTTTAGGAGGTGGCCCAGCGGGCAGGGGGTGGGCTGGGGCTGGGGCTTGAGTGTGGACGCAGCAGCTGGAGGCAGTGATGTGGGGGTTCTCAGGGCTTCTCGTGGAGAAACCAAGTGTAGACAGGTAGGCTCTGTCCCACTGGGGGGGATGGCAGTGCCCCCCCCCACCCGCACACAGGGTCTGGAGGCTGGGGCTGTTCCCTCGGCAGGGCGCTCTGCCGACCCCCTTCAGGGCCCAGTTGGGAGAGTTCAGGATTCTGGGAGGGAGGGGAAGGCGTGTGCGTGTGAGGCCAGTGTTTGAGGGAGGGTCAGCTGTGTCTTCGAGAGGGTTCCCCGGGGTGTGAGGGTGACTGGGAGGGACCCAGCAGGAGAGCAGGGCCCCCGAGGGGCAGAAGGCAGTTGTGGCTCAGAGGTCGCTGTGTGGGGCTGGAGGGAGGGCCGAGGAGCCTGCCGTACACCTGCCCTGACCTCCCGTCCTCCCCCAGCTGAGAAGGTGAGCTCTCTGGGCAAGGACTGGCACAAGTTCTGTCTCAAGTGTGAGCGCTGCAGCAAGACCCTGACCCCTGGGGGCCATGCTGAGGTGAGCCCCCTTCCCCCGGGGCCGGTGGGGGCGGGGGGGGGGCAGGCCTGGGGCTGCGGGCCGGGTGCCAGCCCTCACGCCTTGCCCCTCTGCCTAGCACGACGGGAGGCCATTCTGCCACAAGCCCTGCTACGCCACGTTGTTCGGACCCAAAGGTGAGCTTGGGTCCCCTCCTCAGCCTGGGAACCGCTCTGGCCCTGGAAGGGGTGGCCGGTGTGCCTCGGGGACCCAGCACAAACAGACTTGGGTCCAGAAGACGCCAGGGGCCCCGGGGTCCCCTAGCCCCCTTCTCCTCCAGCCCCCTTCTCCCCTCACCCATTCTGGACCCTCCCCCAACCGTCTGTCTCTTCCCTCCTGTGATTCTAGCATCCTCCACACCCCTCCCAGAAGTCTGCCCCAGCCGGCCGGCACCCTCTGGGTGTGGGGGTCCAGACCCTACAGAGTGGGCTGTGGAGAGAAGTTCAGTGGGGTGTGAGCGCTGGGGTGGGCGAGGCCGCTCGCCCTAGCGTGTGCCACTCCACAGGCGTGAATATTGGAGGTGCGGGCTCCTACGTCTATGAGAAGCCGTCCGCCGAGGGTCCTCAGGTCACCGGCCCCATCGAGGTCCCCGTGGTCCGGGCTGAGGAGCGCAAGGCGAGCGGCCCCCCCAAGGGGCCCAGCAAAGGTGAGCTGGGCTCCATGTCCGGGCGGAGGGGTGTCCCGGCGGCCAGGCCGGGCCCTGCCCTGACTCCTCTTCCCCGCAGCTTGCAGCGTCACCACGTTCACGGGGGAGCCCAACATGTGTCCTCGCTGCAACAAGAGGGTCTACTTTGGTGAGTGAGTGCGCCCGGCATAGCATCTGGGGGGGTCTCCGAAGAGGGTCCCCAGCATCACCGTCTGTCTCCCCTCCCAGCCGAGAAGGTGACCTCTCTGGGCAAGGACTGGCACCGCCCGTGCCTGCGCTGTGAGCGCTGCGGGAAGACCCTAACTCCTGGCGGGCACGCGGAGGTGAGGGGCGGGGCCACGGAAGGGAGGGAGGGGCAGGGCCAGGGAGGTGACGGTGGGGGGGGGGGATGTGGAGGCCAGCACCGGGAGGGGAGTGAGGGACGGTTTTCCGAGGTGACAGGTGACATGGGGTTGGGCCCCGGGGAGGTTGGGGGTGGGCATGGGGCGGGGGTGAGGGGCAGGTTTGCAGAGAGGTGACGCGGTGGGGGGGGCACGGGGAAGTGGGGTGAGGGGCGGACCCTGGAGGTGATGGAGGTGATGCCCAGGCTGGCCTGGGGGTGGGGGGTAGCTGTGGGTGCTGCGGTGGGTGCTGCCCCCTGGTGGGCGGAGTGGAGGCCTGCAGGTGCACACATGGCCTCGCACTGTGTCCCCTCACCTCTGCATCAGCTGAGTGGAGCTGGGCATGGCTTTGGGGTCCTTGAAGGCTGTAAGGCAGGGTGGCCAGGTGGACGAGGAGTGTGGGGGGAAGACCTCGGGAGTCTCAGCACTGTCCCTGTTCTGCCCCCAGCACGATGGCCAGCCCTACTGCCACAAGCCCTGCTATGGGATACTCTTTGGACCCAAGGGTGAGTGCGCCGGGAGGGCTGGGATTGGGGTGCCCTCCTGCCCGCTCTTCCCCACGACCTTGTCACCTTTTTCTGCAGGAGTGAATACTGGCGCGGTGGGCAGCTACATCTACGACAGAGACCCAGAGGGCAAAGTTCAACCCTAGGGCTGCCACTGGTCCAGGGAGCTGGGCCTCTGCTGGCCCCGCTCCAGAGCCCACTGCTTGGCCCTGGGGGGGAGAGCGACCAGCCGTCCAGCCCCCCCTGCACGTCTGGGGCCCGAGTGTTGTGGGGGAGGAGGCCTGCCTGCCCCTCCCTCTTTCTCTGGGTGTGTCTGCCCATGACCCTCTTTTATGTCCACGTGGCTCCACATGGCCCTGTGTGTCTCCCGGCCCTGGGGGGGTCTAAGGCGGGCATCCCGCTCCCCCTCCTGCGGCCCCGGCCTGCCTCACAGTGTTACTTCTGCTCCCCGCGCCGTGTCGGCCCAGCCACGCTCTACACGGCGTCCCCAGGGCGGACCCAGGGCTTCCCTGCCAGGAGCCCTCCGCCCATCACCCTCACTGCCCTGCAGCGCTTGCCTGACACCCTCACACGGCTCATACTTAACTGCTGAGTCTTGCTGTCAATAAAGGTTTGAAGATCGGGGGACCCTGCCTGCCTCAGGACGCCTGTGGGCTGGCTTCTGATGGGAGCGGGGTCCTGTTCCCAAGGCTGGTGGGGGCTGGTGGGAGGCAGGCAGCTCCGTTTTGACCTGTGATGCCAGCCCCGAGGTGGAAAAGGCGGCTGACACGGGCCAGACCAGCTGGAGGTGGAGCATGGGAAGCATCCTGGGTTTGGGGTCCTGGTCCCCAGAAACGTCAGCAGTGGGCACTAGAGCCAGAAGATGCCCGGGTCCATCGGGGCGGGGTCGGCCTTGGGACTGAGAGCCAAGGGCATGGCACGTGGAGGGAGGGGCGGGTGACTGGGGGACGGTCCTCGGCAGGAGTGCGGGGCCTGAGGGGTCGGCAGAAGCAAGGCGGGCCTTCGGGTCGGGGCCCAGAAGTACAGTGGGCTTGGACGGGGAAGGGGTGTGGTCAGCCTTAGTGGGGGCCAAGAGACAGAACCGGGGCCGCCTGAAGGTCAGGCCTGAGGGCCTGAGTCCCCCTGTTCAGGTGCCCTGCCCAGCCAGCGTCCCTGTGTCCGGGTCTGCCGTCATAGTCGAGTCACCCCGGCCGCCCCGGGCAGTCCAGTTTCTGCCCTTTGAACCTCGTGGCAGCTGCCAGGAGCCCCCCTCTTCCTTTTCCCACCACTTCTGGGCAGCCCAGCAGAGGGCGCACCTTCTTCTTCTTCTTCTTCTTTTTTTTTTTTAATAATTTTATTTCTAGGAGAGAGAGAGACAGCGTGAGCAGGGGAGGGTCAGAGAGAGAGGGAGTCACAGACGGAAACAGGCTCCAGGCTCTGAGCTGGCTGTCAGCACAGAGCCCCACGCGGGGCCCGAACCCACGAACCGCGAGATCATGACCTAAGCGAAAGTCGGACGCTTCACCGACGAAGCCACCCAGGCGCCCCTGAGGGCGCACCTTCTGTTCCACTCCAGGCTCTGGCGGAAACCGGCCCACCTACCCTGGCCTGCCCCTAGCACCGCCACCCCAGATGCTTTGCCCTTCCTGAATCCAGGGCATTCTGGGCCCAGGTGCCCTGCACCCCAGGACCAGCTCCCTGAGCCTCAGCCCTTGGCGCAGGGCCTCTCCCCAGCCCTCCCTCCAGTCCACTGGCTCAGACACAGCTGAGCCTGCGTGCCACAGCCATTGTCCTTTGAGCGGCCATCCGTATCCCTGGGGGTGGGTCGGCCGGCTCGGGTGTCCAGCAGTGCCAGGCCGTCCAGTCCCACTGCAGGCGGCAGTGTCTCCTCCCACCTGGCCAGCCCTGGAACGCAGCCAGAATGTGCAGGGCAGGTGGCCTGCGGCGGCTGGAGTGGGGGGGGAGGTGTGGGAGCAGGTACCCCAGGGGCAGCCAGTGTCCCCGAGGCAGAGAAAGTACGACCTGGGCACTTGGCGCAAGCTTGGCGGAAGGCCCCACCTGCCGCCAGGCTGTGGCTCCATGGCTGGAGGGGTCCTTGGGGGGAGAATCCAGACTTTCTGAGCGGCACACGCCCCCCTCCCTGCGATGTCAGATGGGAAATTCCTGCCCTCTGTCGGGGCGGGGAGCCGCGAAGGGCACAGCTTGGGCCCTCCCTCGGAGACTCCAGTGGAAACTATGTGGGGAGGAGACAGAGTGGGCGGCATGCCCTTTCCCCAAACCGGGAGCAGAGGGGCCTATAGGTGGCTGAAAGCCGGGCGAGGGTGCAGGGACGGCCTGGGGGAAGGTCGCCCGGCTCCGCCTTGGGGCGAAGTGGCCCCCAGCCCCCGGGGCTGGCCGGGGAGGCGCGCCCCATTTCCTGCGGGTGGAGGATGACGCGCCGCCGTGTTTGTTTCCAAGGGGTTGCCATGGAAACAGGGGCGGTGCCGCCACCAGCCGTCTCCGCGCGCGTCGCTGGGCGCGTCGGTGTGACCGCGGAGCCCGGCTGCCGGGGCGGCCTCGAAGCCACCAGCTCCAGGAAGCGCCCGAGTCAGGTGCTTCCTCGTGGCCCGCGGTCCCCGACGCTCCCACAAACGCGGGAGGAGGCGGGATCGCGCCCGTGTGCGGGGTGTGCCGCTTCCCCACTTGCCCTCGCCCGACCTCCAGCCCCGCCCCTGGCCGGAGGCGGCCGCAGATGCGCTAACAGCCTCCTTCCGGTCCAGAGCCCGGGGCTGCGTGTGGCGCCCAGGCCTCCTTCACCACCGCCCTCCCCAGCTACACCCCACCTCCTGCCAGTCCAGTCTTCCCGAGTTAGGGAGGGCCAGGCCCCTGCAAGGTGGCTGCCTTCCACCTCTGACCTGGGCCAGTGTGGCCCTGGCTGGTGTCCCCAGGCAGGCGTCCCTGGGGGCCCTGCTCTGCCTGCACCTCCCTTTGTCCCCACCTCCCTGAGGTCCAGACCCCAGATTCCCTCGTCCTGGACCCCCAGCACCTCTCCCTCCAGGACCTGCCCAGCTTTCCCTGGGTCAGTGACCCCCCAGCATCCGCCCTAGGCAGCTCTTCCCCTGCTGGGGGCTCCCTGAGGACCCCACGCAGCTCAGGCCAGCCTCCCTGCATTTCTTAAGGACTGGCGGAGGGGGCGTGACTCCCTTCTGTCCCTGGGTCCAAGCACCAGCTCACTGGCCACCAGCTGTGGTTCCAGGGGCTGCGTGTCAAGAAATCAGCAAGTGCCGACGACCCTGGCCCTGGGCTGCTGGGGGCTGGGCCAGGTGAAGACTGGCAGGGGACCAGGGCAGCCATGTGTGGGCAGCACATTTTCCCAGGGCTGGGCCGCCCTCCAGCAGTGGGGAGGAGGGGCTCAGCAGGCTGCTGGACCGGTGAGGTTGGAATTTGAGGTGGTTCTGCATCAGCTGTGGCTCCAGGACACAGATTCTTGGAACAAGGCTCAGCCTTCAGGGTTAAGGGAGGGTCACCTCATCTGTCCAGACCCTTGACCCCAGGCAGGGCTGACTGAGGGAGTTCAAGGTCATATGCGCCCCCCATCGTCTCTGCATGCTGCCTCTGCTTCAAGAGAGGAGGACAGGAGCTGCCCTCTCACCTGGTCTGGGGGTTCCTGGGTGGATGCAGCAGAGTCCTGGGAAAGTGCAGCATCCAATCCCTTCTCTTGCCTCAGGCCAAGGAGGGTCCATCGAGGGCCCAGCAGGCCCACTCTGGGGCAGAACCTCAGAGCAGACAGGGGGTCCCGGGGGACAAGCTGCTGAAAATAGGCCCTGGGAATGTCTGACTGTCCATGACTCAGCTGAGCCTGGGGGAGGGGGTGGGGGCAGATGGAGCCAGCAGCTGCCCTGGGGCATTTGGCCCTTCAGCCCTAGGAGGGGACACCCTCCCGTGTGTCCACATCCCTGCTTGTCCACCTTGAGGAGGGGGCCTGGAGGCGAGGGCACTGGGTGCCCTCAAGGATGGTGGGGGGGAAGCCAGAGCAAGTGTCACAGAAAACAGCGGAAGAGAGTGCAGGGGTGCTGTCCCGCTTGAGCTGCAGGACTTTCCCAGTGGGTGAGGGTGGCTGGCCCCGGGAGGGGAGCAGACCCCTCAGGGGTCACTGGCTCTCGGGCGCTTGGAGCCCAGCACTGCTTGGAGGTTCACCTGGGCCCTCTCTGGGATCGGCCTGCGCGGCCACGTCCCTCTTGGCTCCCATCTGGGTCCCCAGCCAAGCCTGGGTGGTGCATAAACAGGCAAGGGCATGGGCGGTGGGGTGAGCAGATGGAGGTGGTCTCAGCCGATGCACCCAGAACCCACAGCCGCCTCCCACAGGTCTCGGGGCTCTGGGGCGCCCTGGTGCTGTCCCGGTGCAAGGCAGGATGTTGTGGGCGCAGGGGCGGCCTGGGGCAAGCGACTGGGTTGCTCTGTGTTCCTGTCCTGACCACTTTGTCCCTCGTGCTCCAGACACAGCCCCCGTGCCTGCTGGCAGCTCTAGGGGGCAAGGTGGGGGGAAGGCTACACCTCGGCACGTGTTAGGGGGCTTACCATGTCCTCTGTTTGGGCAACAAATGCAAACAGTGCCCTCAAAAGAGTGGGGTGAGGGGTGGATAGCTGGACAGGCAGGTTTGGGTCTGGAGCTGGCCTGGTGGTTGTGAGCCAGGCTGACCCCCCGGGCCAGGCCAGTGCCCCTCTCCTGCGGGTGCCCCTGAGCTGGGCGTGCTGAATGAAGTAGGAGGTCTTGCGCCTGGTGGGCCCCAGGTCTGCGGGGAAGCTGTCAGGGCCCTGCCCGGCGCCCAGCCGAGCCACAGATGGAAGTGGGCCTGGATATACAGAGCCTGGGGTGGGGGTGGGGGGCAAGAGGCCGATGCAGGGCTCCTATCCCCTCCGTGGGCAAGGTGCATAGGGAGCTCAGGGGAATGGGAGGGGCATTGCCAGCCTGTGGCTGAAGATTTGGGAGAGTTCCAGGGAGTGTGTGTGTGTGTGTGTGTGTGTGTGTGTGTGTGTTTGAGTGTCTGGAAAAACTGTGCTGTGTACCAGCTCAAGGGCGAGGCACATGGCCCTTGGCTACTTTTGGCATCCCCCCCCACCCCCCCGCACAGCCCTGTGACCATGGCAACGGGAAATAACAGCAGGAAAAGCTAACAAGAACCTCATCAGCCCAGTTTTCAAGGGGGGGTGCTTCCCCACGGTGGAGTCACAGTGTGTGGGTGGGGGGCATCCCCAGGGCAGGCTCGGGGAGAGGAGGGCAAAGCTGGCTCCCGCCCCACCTGCCTGGGGGCTTAGGGTGGTGCCGTGGGCTGGACAGAAACATGGGAAGGCAGCTGGGATGCCCGGATAAGCACACACACACACAGCGATGCCCTGTGTGGGGCTCATGCACCCCTTTAGCACATCACCCTGGTAGAGCAGAGGCAGCCCTGCCCTGGAGCCCCAGGCCTCCACCCAGCATGTGCCGCACATCCATGCAGGGCAGTCTTCGCAGGAAGCTGCCGGTGCAGCACGTGTGTGGTGGAGCCCATGACCCACTGTGACAGCTCCCGCCCCCGCGGACCCTTCTCCAGAAGCCCCTGCCTCTCTGGCCTGTCTACACCTCCGTCCCCTGCTCCCCTGCTGTGTCTGTGTTTCTGTGTACGCATCCCCTGCCCTGCACGCTCTTGCTCTTCCCATCCCGGCCTCCTTTCAGATCCTGGAGCCACAGGAGATGAGGGAAGTCAGGATCCACCCTAGTGACCCCCATCTGTCTGCAGCCGCGTCTGGCGCAGGCCAGGGAGACACCAAGGGATGGGCAGGGGTGGGGGGGCAGGTTGGGCTGGTGGCCTTACCTCCGGAAACCGGCCCCAAGTGCCCCAGCGCTGGGCAGGGAGGGCCACGGGCCCAGATGTGACAGTGAGTGTGGAGGCTTCAAGGCTGGAGCAGGCCAGTGTCGACAGGGGGGCGGGGGGGGCGCTGGGTCTCCAATGGTGCGTGTGTGCACCCCACTCCTGAGGACAGTGGACAGCCAGCCACTGAGGGTTTGTGGGATGTGGTGCAAGCCTTGCAGACCCCAGGGTTTGCAGAATCCCAGGTAGGAGCAGAACTGTGGTCTCAGAAAGGGGGTCCCAGGGAGGAGGGGGTGACTGCAGGGAAGCATGAGGGGCAGGACATGAGGGTGTGGGGTCTAGTGGGCCATCCTCACGGAGGGTTCACCTTGGACGTAGCCTCCGTGGTCCATAACCCCTGGCTGCTGCCACCCTCACTCCAAGCCAGGCTTCCTTGGGGGGGCAGAGGCAGGCCCAGTGGGGGTGCTGGTGGGGGCACCCATGGTTCCCCTCCCTTCTCCCAGTGCCAGGCAGGAGGCCTATGGTGGGTAGGCAGGCTTGGAGTCACTGCGTGCCTTGTGGGGAGGCCAGGAGCCCTGGAGGAAGGTCTCTAGCACCTTCCACGAAGATGGGGCCCGGACAGGCCCAGGGATGGTTTGGTTTTGAGAGACGGGTGTGTCAGGGATGAGGAGGAGGGTGGTAGTTGAAGGGAGGGACGGGGACACCCAGGAGGAAGGGCAGGAAGGCAGATGGGCAGGGGCTGCAGCCTAGGCGCTGAGGAGCCAGGAAACTGGGTGTGGCCGGGGCGATGGATCTTTGCGCAGGGAGGTGAAGGGTCCACAGAGAGAGGGGCAGCCCCTGCCCTGCCCCCAGGAGAGGACGGTGGCCAGGAGGGAGGTGGGGTAGGCCGAGCAGTGCCCTACCCGGCAGGGATTTCCTAAGGGGGCATGGAGGCCAGGACCCCAGCCAGGCTGAAGCCTAGGTCTGGGCTAGAAGGTGGCTGGGAGACCCCGCCAGCTCCCCGGGCACTTCCCACTCCCAGGGTGGGTGGAGTCGGACGTCTCCACCTGGCACCAGCCCCCACTTTCCTGGGCGGTGGACTCAACCACTCCCGTCGCGCGATCTCGTGTTCTTCCCGCAGAGATAAGGAGTCCTTCTTGCAGAGATGCCCTTTGCGTGGCCATGCCAACCTTCCCCGCCAGGGCCTCCGCCCCCTGCACTGATCACTGTTACACGGAGGCGAGGGAGGGACGTCCCGTTTCCGAGTCGTCTCTTCCAGATTCCCCAGGCTGCTGTCCAATGGACGTCCCAGGCAGCGGCGGGGGTGGGGGGCTCGCAGAGGCCGGGGTGTCCCTCGGGGGTGGGGGGCTGGGGAGGCGCGGGCCTCCCAGATCCACGTGTGATGAAGGGCGGAGGAGAGTTTCTGCAGGGGGGAGCGGGCTGCAAGGCTGAAATGTCGCTGGTCCCCAACCCTCTGTCTGGCGGAGGGTCGGGTTAAAGTGTGGGGAGAAGGAAGCTCGCACACGCTGGTTTGCGTCTATTTGCATTTTAGCGGTAACTCCCTGGCTCCCAACTATCTGGGGTTCGAGAAGTTGCGGCGGGCTGGGACTGGGGCTGGGGCCCCCTGGTCCTGGGAAGCCCCTTCCCTAGATCCTGGACGCTGGGCGAGAGGCGGGGCTGTAACCCCCGGAGGAGTCCCGCCCCTTCAGCCTATCCCTGGGGATCCCGTGCGCTCCTTGGTCCCCCTCCCCTCCCCGTCGTCTGTTAGGCTTGGGAGCTGCCTGAAGGCGGGGGTGGACCAGATGACCTTTCCTGGCTGGTTGGCCTGGAATCCAGGTCCCCGGGTCCAAATCCTGGACTCGGCGGGCGGGGCTCGAGGGGCGGGCCCCAAAGGGGCGGGGTCCTGGGGTCCCTGAAAGGCGCGCACCCAGCGGGACCCACCCAGTACGGCTCTCCTGTCTGCTGCTGACCCGTCGTCCGCGCCGGACCCCTTGCCGCCATGCCCAAGTGCCCCAAGTGTGACAAGGAGGTGTACTTTGGTGAGCGCCCCCCCACCCCCAGTCCACTCCCGGCAGGGACCGCGGGGCAACGCATCGCCCCACGCGGAAGCGCAGCCCGGGGACTGCGAGAGGGCTTCGCGGGAGGGCCGGGCGCGCGGGGGACCCTGGGGCAGCGTGCGGGGGGCCGGCCCTCCAGCCACACCGGCGACCGCCTGGGGGTGCCGGTCACGACCCCTGCGTGGGGCGGCCCGGGCGTCTCTCCTTCGGTCCCGCTGGGTCTCCCCGACTCTGGGTCTCCCCGACTCTGGGTCTCCCCGAGTCTGGGTCTCCCCGACGCTAGTCTCCCCGACGGTCCCGTGCCGCCTCGGCGAGCCCTGGGCGGGGACCGCGCGGCCGGGGAGAAACGCGGCGCCCTGGCCGCCCCTCCCATCGCTAAGTAGAAACAGACGCGGAAACCGGCGCCCGGGGCGCGATCCCGGGCGCGCTCACACCCCGGGTGCCGCTTCCCTGTCCCGCGCCCCGGGGCCACCCAGAGGAGAGGCGGGAGGAAGTGGGAAGTGTGTCCCCCGCCCTCGCCCTGGCGAAGGGCGCCCTGCAGGCCCACACCCCTGGCCCTCGGGGCCTCCCCTTGCAGCACCACCCAGCGCCCCCTGCCGTTGGTTTGGCTGGGTGCGCCTTGGGGACTGGAGGTGCCGCTCCCCACACACTAGCATGGGGGCCAGCTGAGACCCGGGGTGGGCCACCAGGCGTGCATGGGTGAGACAGGCGCAGAGGGAGCTGGAGAAGGCTGTTGCGTCAGCAGACTTAGCAGACGGGTGCGCCCTGTGATCGTAGAGCAGCGTCTTAAGTGTGTGCGGGGCTCTGTACCTCTGCAGCCGAGCGGGTGACTTCTCTGGGGAAGGACTGGCATCGGCCTTGCCTCAAGTGTGAGAAATGTGGAAAGACGCTGACGTCAGGGGGCCACGCCGAGGTAGGTGGGGCCTGGAGGGCAGTGAGGGGTGCAGGGCGAGGGGTGACAGCCCCTCACGGCCCCTGTCTCCGCAGCATGAAGGCAAGCCCTACTGCAACCACCCCTGCTACGCCGCCATGTTTGGGCCCAAAGGTACGCTTCCCATGCATGGCCCCTGGGCTGCCCCACCCCCCAGCCCCCGACCCCCTCTCTAACCTGCCTACTCTCTTCTCTGCAGGCTTTGGGCGGGGTGGCGCTGAGAGTCACACTTTCAAGTAAACCCAGGTACACCCTCAGCCCCCAGCGCAGACCCTCAAGAAGCCTTCGGGATGGTCCCTCGCACTCCTGGGTGCGGTCTGACTGCGTGCTGGGCCTGCACTCACCCCTGTCCTCTCTGCGCAGGTCATGGAAACGCTGTCCCTGGCAGCTCACCGGGCCACTGCCCTTCCAGGCTGATTCCAGGCCCTTTCCCCAGGCACCGGGGGCTCCCCGGTAGTCTCCCTGGCCCTCAATAAAGCTGAGCACTCAGAAGCCCTGCCAGTGTGTGTGTGTGTGTGTGTGTGTGTGTGTGTGTACACGCACCTGCGCCGTGCCTTGACGGGGGGGATGGTGCAAGGGAGCTGCCGCTCGGGGTTCTGACTCCAGGCCCTGCCGGGAGCCCTGCTGCAGCTGGCCTTGCTGCCCACTGTGCTGGCGGGTGCTGCACCCGCAGCCACCACAGGCTGAAGTGTCCTCTGGCCACCCTGGAAGGCCCCATGGTGGCTCAGCTCCCCAGCTGCCAGACCCCCAAGTGTCCCACCGATTCTGGGATGGGGTGAAGGGTGGGTCAACAGGTCGCCGGGAACATGAGGCCTGGGAGTCAGTGGATGGTGGCCACCGGGTGAATCGGCTGTGCTAACGCTGGTTCCGTTTTTGAGAAGCTTTCGGTGCCTTGTGGTGCGGAGTCCTCACCTGCTTTCTGCACTTCCTGCCCCACCCTGTCCCCAGTCCCCACCTGCCCCTGTGGACCAGGCCAGCCACATGCCTGCAGGGGCATCGGCCTGGACACCACCACCCCTCTTTTTTTTTTTTTTTTTTTTAATTTTTTTAAATGTTTTATTTATTTCTAGGAGAGAGAGAGAGAGAGACAGCGTGAGCAGGGGAGGGTCAGAGAGAGAGGGAGGCACAGACTCTGAAACAGGCTCCAGGCTCCAAGCTGGCAGTCAGCACAGAGCCCGACGCGGGGCTCGAACCCACAAACCGCGAGATCATGACCTAAGCGAAAGTCGGACGCTCAACCGACTAAGCCACTCAGGCGCCCCACCACCCCTCTTTTGTACACCCTCCCTCCAGAGTCCCAGGTAGCCAGAGGCCACGTGGGGAATTCGAGGACTAGCTGGGCAGTGGATAGTCGGGGGCCTTCTGGAAGCGCCCATGTGAATCTGGCAGCAGCTTCAGACGGGGCCACACTCGGAGACCTCATTCTCTCCCCTGGCCATCCAGTCTCCAGCCCTGGCAGAAGGCCACTGCTCCCAGGCTTCCCCCCTACCCCAGGCCCTGCAGGGCTGCTGGACAGGCTGTTGGGGGGCCTCAAGGGCTGCGTGCAGGGTGTGTGCGTGGGGGCGTTATTTGGTGGCTCACAGAGCTCCAAAAGGTGGGAGCCATAGCACATCTGGTGGGGAGGGGGTGGGGGAAAACAGATGGTGCTAAAGCGAGCGGGATTTCTCGGGACAGTGGAAGGGTGGGGGCTGGGGGCTCCGAGAGTCAGCAGTGTCTTGTGCCAGAGTGAGGAGAGGGGGGACACAGGAAAATCTGCGCCAAGTGCTGGGAGAGGCAGCTCTGCCCCCGTGTAGCCCACAGCCGGGTGGGGCAGACGAAGGGCTGAGTGCTGAGCCCTGAGGCCTGCGCCAGAGGGGGCCCGACCAGGCCAGGAAGCCCGGGGAGCACTCAGATGATAGACCCAGAGAGAAGACCCGGTGGGCTGGGCGGGTGGGTCAGGGGTGTGGTCTTTATTTTGAGGGTCGCAGGGCGCTACGCCTGGCGTCAGCAGCGGCCTGCGGAGACCCGGCCCCCGCGAGCTGAAGGGTCTGAAGCTGGGGACCTGGCCCCAGCCCGCGGGGCAGGTGACCGGCTCCGCGGCGGGGCGGGTGGGGTGGAACACAGGCCTAGAAGCGGCCGCAGCGGAGAGGCAGGAGGGCAAAGGTGGGACCCGGGGCACTTCCTGTGGGCGTGGCTCCGGCCGGCGGTGAAGGAAGCGTAGGAGGACGGCGTGGGCAGGGCTGGGGTCGGAGGGCCGGGCGCTCCGCCCTCCTGACCGCTGCGCCGAGGGGTAATCCCCGTGCCGCCCGTGGTTCTCACCGCGGTGCGGGATTGTGCAGCCGCCCCTCGTGCCCTGGGCGCGCCACCGGCCGTTGGGGGGGGGGGTTCCGCGCGCACGGTGGGCACGCGCCCTTCGCGGGCCGGGGCGTCCGTGTGCACTGCCGGGCTCTGCGACCGCGTCCCTGGCCGCGCCTATGCTGCGGCGGAAGGAGGGGCCCGGAAGCAGGACAGCGAGGCCGGAGGACCGGGCCGGGGTCCGGGGGAAGGCTTGGGGGGCGGAGCCCCTGAGCGCAGCCCCCGCCGGGCCCGCGGAGGCTGAGGGGAGCCCGCCAGGGTCAGCGGCGCCCGGCTGCGCTGCGCTCTCGGCCGCAGGGGGCGCCCGGGGCGCGGCCGAAGGCCCTCCGCGGTTGCTAGGCTGCCATTTGGCGGTAGAATGAGTGAGGCGCTGATTGGTCTGGACCAGGCGGGTGTCGGGTGTCGCCCCGATTGGGCCGCAAAAGGCGTACCCCGCGGGGCTGTCGTCGCCAATTGGTTCCTGCGGCACCGGAAATGCCTCCGCACTGGACAGAAGACACTGCACTCAAAACCCGGGGCACCGCTCATTGGACCGGCGCTGGAGGCGTGTCCCAGCCCGCTCGCTGACTGGGCGCGGGCCCAGCAGAGACAGCGCCTTCGTGGTGATTGGACGCTGGGACCCAGCGGCCGCGGCGCTCAGTGCGAGGGAAGCCGGGGCCACCGGGCTGCATGCGGCGGCGGCGGCGCAGGGTGGGCCGGGAGGCCGCGGTCGGGCCCCTGCCCGAGGCCGTCGCCGCGCTGAGTCGGGCGCTGCCCGCCGGGCCCAGCCCCGAGATCTTCCGCCGCGCCAAGTTCGACCGTCCGGAGGCGGTGAGGCCCGCGGGGCAGGCGGCCGGGCCCGGCAGGAGCCGGGGAGGACGCAGGGTGGCGGCCGGCCCCGCTGACTGCCGCCCTTCGATCCCCGCAGGCCCCGGTGCTCTGGCGGCTGCTTTTCCACGTGCTCTCACCGCTGTCGGCCAACGGCGCCTCGGCGTCCCCAGCCCAGGGTAAGCCCCGCTCCCGGCGGGCCCTGGCTCCGCCCGCTCACGCAAGTCTCGCCCTGTTAACCACGTCCCCGTAGTGAGCCGTGTCCCGCGGGCCCAGGGGCTTTCGCGCTGCATCGCTGTGTCCGCCTCGCGTAAAGCCTCAAACCGGCGAGCCCCGCCTCCCTGGAAAGCCCCGCCCACTCACCGGGGCCGTCCTCGGCACGCAAGCACCGCCCTAGTTAGCCACGCCCCAACAGTAAGCCACGCCCTCCTGGGCCCTCGCCCCGCCCATTCCGCCTGCTGCCCAGCTCCGGCAGAGCCTCGCCCACCTCGTAAGCGCTGTCCCATTAGCCCTGGGCCCCTCGTCCTGTAAGTCCCCTGATTGTCCCCCCCAGACCTGGCCTTTGCTGGGGGTCCTGCGGGCGCCCCTGGAAGGCCTAGTGGCGCACCCCTAATGGGTGGCTCCCTGAGCAGGCGGACCCCCATGTGCAGAGGCCCAAGTCCGCGTGGTGAAGTCGGAGCTGCGCTCCCAGTGTTACCCCAGGCGGGCCCTGGCACAGCTCCCCGAGGACGGCTCCCAGGGCAGCCGCGAGCTGCTCCTGGCCCTGGCCTGGCTCCTGGCCCGCGGGCCCCTGCTCGAGCGGCTGCTGGCCCAGACCCGCGTGCGGCTGGGCGATGAGATACCCCTGTGCGAGGTGGGTGCGGGGTGAGAGGGAGTGGGGCCGGGTCCTGGTGGGGACCCTGGACCCTGGGACAGCCCCGGGACAGCTCTGTGGGGGCGCTGTCGCCCTCCCCACCACTCCCTCCTCCTCCCCTACCCCTCCCTCAGGGCAGAGTGCAGTGTGTGCTCCTGGGTCAGGGTGTGGCCCCCAAGCCTCCCCTTGGCACCCCTGGGGACCATGGCGCTCACTCCAGGGGCCTCTTTTCTCTTTCCCCCTGTGTGGTCTCTGCTGGGGGTGTGGGAGCAGGGCGTGACCCTTGTCCCTCTCGAGTGTGATGCCCTGGCCAGGCCTGGCCCCCCTGCACCCCGTGTGGAAGCAGACGGCCCTGTGGACATACGCTACTTGCAGTGGCTGATGGGAAAGCTGTTGCTCCAGTGGCGGAAGCTGATGACCAGTCAACAGGAGCAGTGTGCCCTCCTGGGCAAGGTACTGTCACTGGGGAATGTCCCACCGGAGGTGCTTACTCTCCATACTACAGGCTGGAGCCTGGCCTTTGGCTGCACATGGCCCTTCCCAAGCCTGGATGGGAGCTGACAGGTTGGCCACTGCCATGCAGGAGCCCAGAGCCTGAACCCGGGCTCCCGGTGGCCCAGGAGGGATCGTAGGGCAGGTGGAGCTGGGCATCACTGGCGCTAGCAGGACAAACAGCCTGTGCGGTTGGCTTTCCTCTTCCCAGAAGTCATTGGAGGCCTCAGACTCTGTGTCTGAGCCACGAAATGGGCTCTGGGCACTGGGGGAGCCGCTGCTGCCTGGGCATGTTTTGGGAAGGAAAGTACCCCCTCCTTCTACCACAACCTGGGTGGAGGCTGACAGGCAGTGGGCAGCTTCTGTAGGCTGCTCAGGCTCAGTGTGGGGGCACAGGTCACCCTTACAGGTCCAGGGCAGAGCCTAGGCTGAGAGGGAATGGGGCAGGGGCCTCAGACTCCCACCAATGCAGGGCTCCTTGATGCTAGGACCCCCCACCCTGCACGTCTGCCCCCTTCAGGGGCCTGTTAATCCCTCGGCCCTTCTTGGGAGCTGTGTCGCTCTGGCTTGGCCGGGCCTCCCATTGCTCCTCCTGCCTGGGACATGGCCATGGTTGACCTCCGTGATGCCTTGAGGCCAGACCTTGCTGAGAAGCCTTTCCAGCCCCCCAGGCCCAGGTAGTCACTCTGTGTCTCTGCTGTTGTCGTCACTGGCCCTCTTAGCCTGTCCAGAGGCTCCCACCACACGGGCCTGGCCCTCAGCAGGCTGAGGGAGAAGCAGAGCCGCCCCATTCCAGCCCCCCCACACCCCTGGGAGCTGGGCAGATGGGGAGGGTGTGGGAGGGACTGCCCGTACCCCACCCTCTGCAGGGGACTCCAGCTCCCCGGCAGTGCTGACTACTCTCTGAGCCTGACTCAGGCCCATTTCCTCGCCTGCAAGGCAGGCCTCACAAGCCTCACCTGGAGCTGGGAGAGGCACCCCTTCCTGCTCAGTCTGGGGTTTACGCTGCCTGTTTCAGATCCATTCATACACCCGCGGCTGCCACAGTGACCGCAGCCTTGGCCACCTGTCTGTTGCTGAGACCGAGCTGCTCAGGGACGCGGAGGGCGGCCGGCAGGTGAGGGGGTGTGTGTGTGTTGATGCCGTAGAACTGCAGATGGCATGAGGTGGTGGGGGTCGAGGAAGGGAAGGTCCTGGGAGGGAGGACCCAGCGACCAGCTTTGAGCTGTGGGTGACTGGCCCACTCACCATCTTGCTGCTGGTGGGGCGCAGACACGTCCTCGGGGCCTCCCCCAGCTCCCTAGACCATCCGGTGTTGCAGAAACCCAGGCCGGCTGCTGGGTATGCAGGCGGCTGGGCACGGTTAGGGCCCCGGTTAGGTTAGGGCAGGGGTGCCTAGACTGGACTGGCAGCTTGAAGGTTGGAGCTCAGGGTGTGGTGGCGTCCAGAGCCCATGCAGGGCTCAGCTGGCACCTGGGGGCTGGGAGGGAGCTGGTCTAGCGCGCCCTGTACTTTGCCGACTTTCTTTCCAGGAGGCCCCACCGGGTCATTCTTGTTTCCTCCCCTCAGGCTGGCACGGCCAGGGCGTCCTGGGACAGGCTCAGGGCTGGCTGTCACTCGACGGTTGGGGGTGCAGACTGTGAGGCTGGCACTGTTCGGCCTGGGGGGCGCTTGGCCAGGCAGGAGGGCTGGGGCTCAGGGCTGGTGGCCCCTCTCTCCAGCCCCAGTGGACCCCAGCTCTGGAGTTGTGTGCTCTCAGAGGCTTGTGCATCCCTTTTGTGGGGTTGGGGTAGCCCCAGCGGGGGCGGGGGTGCCTGCCAGGCCTGCATCCCTGGCCAGAACCTGCCCGGCCCTCCCGGGCAGGGCTGCACTCATCTCTGGAAGTGCTGAGGCAGTGTCTCGGTGACCCGAGGTGCCCTCGGCTGGGTCCCCTTATACGGGTGACTCAGCGAGGCCCAGGCTTCCTGCCCTTGGTCCCTCTGTGTTGGAGCAGAGCTGAGGCTGCACCAGCTTCAGCCAGTTGTGGCCTGGGTCCCTGGCCTCTGTGGCGCCCCAGCCTCTCTGAGGCGAGGGCGTCTGGGGGCCTCAGGACTACAGACATTGTGAGGTAGTTGGGGGCCACCATTGGCTTCCTCCCAAGGTTTCTGGAGGGGGAGCTGGCAGAAGCCTGGACCAGTGTACCCAGAGCCTGCACTCTTGGGATGGGTCCCAGAAGCTTCTGGAGTGATGTATGGTTGCTGTGTGAGTGGCCAGGCGCGCTGCAGGGGGGCTGGACAGTGAGCATGCTTGGTTACTGGCCAGGCCTGCAGCCCTTCTCATACCCCTGTGCCTCCCCCCCTGCCCTGGCCACAGTGCAGCAGTGGGGTGGGGCAGGGAGGTGGCTGCCTCAGGAGACTCCAGTGCAGGGCCTGCGGGGGGGGGGGGGAGGCGGCAGTGGGGGCGTGTTGCCTCTTCCTGTGGTGCCTGTCCCACTTTCCCGTAGCCTGGGAGGTGGGGAGCACCCGGGCCCCGGGCCACATTAACCTAGTGCAAATGCGTGCACAGACGTGGGTGGGTGCACCTGGCACCTCCATGTCTCCGTGCTCCGGGCTGTGCTCCCTCAGGCCCACAGTGGTTCTCTCTGTGGCTGGCTTTACTGGCGATGGGTTGTGTCCTTGGCCTGGCATTCAAGGCCGCTCTGCACCTGGCCTCCTGACCCCTGGAGCCCCAGGCTCCCTCTGCAGCAAGCAGGCCCCCGGCTGTCAGTCTGTATGCTGTCTGTAGGGGCAGAGCCGGGATCCCTTCCCGGCCAGGGGAGACCCTGGGTCAAGGGTGCCTGTTGGGCAGGGCCTGTGCACTGGCCCTTTGTCCTGGCCCCAGAACATGCTGCTGTGTTCCCAGGAAGCGCAGCGAACCCGCGTTCCAGAGGGAGCAGTGCCTGTGGCCTGGCTTGTAGGCTGGCTGCTGCCTTCAGAGAGGGGCCACAGCAGGTGCAGGCCTGTGGCTTCCTGGTGGGGGCAGCCTGGGTGAGGGTGGGGTGGGAGGCCTCAACGGCACCTCGCAGGTTGGTGGGCCCCCTGGAGGTGGAGGTCGAGGCTGGGGAGGCGCATGGCCACATGCTGCTGTGGGGCCTGCGGGTCTGGAGCTGCGTGAGCCTGGCAGGGAGCTGTGCATGCGCAGCTGTGGCCTGCATGCCGGGGCCCTGCCTCCGCACTGCCTCCCTGAGGTTATACAGAGGGGTTCTCGCACCAAGAGCCCGGAGGGCTGCCCTTTCCACAGCCCCTCATCTGCCCGCAGTCTCCCGAGTGCAGCCCCCTGGTCAGTGAGGGATGTGGGGGAGAGGTCCTGAGTTGAGGGTGCTCAGGCTCAGCCGCTGACCCTGTGGGGACTCACATTTGGGGCCTGTGTGGGGACCGTGGGTGTCTTTGAGGCCCGAGAGGCTTGGCTCGGTCACGCCTGGAGGTGGGGCGTCCTGTCCTGCCCGCAGGGAGGTGGCTCTGCCCACGGGGGGCCAGGAAGACTGGCGAGCACGGTGGTCGGTGCTGGATGTAGGGGTCCCAGGCGGGGCTCTGACCTGGCCACGGCATGTGGTCTGCTTTGCAGCTGCTTCGGAGGCTGGAGAGCGAGAACGCGCGCCTGGAGGCGGCCCTGCAGTGGCGGCACCGGGAGCTGGTCTTCTGGCGGTGGATGGTGTGCCTGGGTCCCCTCTCTGTCCCAGCCTTGACCGCGGCAGCTCTGGGGTGGGGGCATCTTCCTAGTTCGCAGACAGGAAGGGGAGACTGGGGAGGCCACAGACGCACCCACCGCCAAGTTGGCTTTGCGACCCGAGCCTACTGGCCGTGAGTCAGCACCTCTCTGCAGATGTCCATCTGCCCATCACCTGGCCTGCCCTGCTGCGGGGGAGCCCAGACTTCGCAGGGGTCCAGGAGTCTGGATGCCTCCCTGGCTCCCCGCTCACTGTGTCACCATGGGGGTGGCCTGCCCCCAGGCCTCCTTGCCCTCTGTCCCCGTTGGCCGAGGCCCAGGTTTGCTGCATGCCTCTCACTTGGTCTCTCTCTGCAGGACACAGTCCTGGGCACCTGCCCTCCAGAGGCCTCACAGCCCCCGTTTCTGCCCAGGGTCCCCGAGCGGGGGGCTGGTGACTTGGAGCTGGTGGCCCACGAGCTGCAAGCCCTGCAGGAGGAGCTGCGGGGAGCTGCGGAGCCCCGGCGGGCAGCCTGGGAGGCCGGGGTGAGGGTTGGGGGCTGGTGCTGGGGCCGAGGGGGCCTGAAGGCTGTGTCTGGGGTAGGATGGCCGCCCCTGGCTCACGAGCCACCGTCTGCCCCATGCAGGTCGGAGGCTGGGGGCCCGAGTGGAACGCGGTGCAGCAGGCCTCACAGGAGGCCGTGGAATGCGAGCTGGCAGCCCTCCAGCGGGCCTGGGAGCCACGTGCGTCCATGGCCCAGCCCCATGGGCCCTGGCGGCTGGTGAGGAGTGACGCCGGAGCCTCAGGGGGCCCAGGCCTGCGGGCGGCCCAGGTGATTGGGGTGCTGAGGAGCCGGGAGGCCTGCCTGGAGGCAGTGCTGTGCCAGCTGCAGAGACAGTGTCGGCGGGAACTGGCCAGGTTGGCAGGAGCCCTGCCTGGCCTCATCTGGATCCTGCCATCCGGTCGCTGAGGACCTGTGCCCTCCTCGGGGGGGACCCCCCCGACCTGCCCCGGCTGGGCCTCGGAGGGGCAGGTTTCAGGGTGGTGCCAGGGACAACGCAGACACGGGCCCCCAGGCATGCTCTCCCTAGCCCTGGGGCTGTCCCCACCTGGGGCAGAGCCCACCCCTTGGGTAGCAATACTGGGAGCAGGCACGCAGGCCCAGTGTGGAGTTCATGGGCCTTCAGCACCAAGAGAGGACACAGAAATAAGTTGTAGAGCCCTCCCTGCAGGGGTGAGGCTCTGTCCTGGCCCGCCCTCTGCCACCCTTCCAGGTCCTGTCGGGCAGGTCGAGGAGGGTCGCGTCTGTGCTCAGGCCCAGGAGAAGGGGACCTTGGGTGGTAGTGGCCGAAGCAGGGCTGGTCCAGTGCTGCCCAGGGGCCAGCAGGTCAGGCACGGCCTGCAACGCGGCGTGGGCATCAGGGTCCGGGGGGGATGGCCCCTCGAGCCCCTCACACACTATGCCCTGGGCCCCCACTGCACACCCTGCCCTCTGCCGGTGCCTGGTGTGTGCGTGTGGGGCAGGGGCGCCAGCTGGAAGCCCGGGGGTGGGGGGCTGTGCTGGGGTGAGGGGGAGGCCACCATGGATAGAGGGGGCTTTGTTCCTGAGACTGGTCGGGGAGCCGGGCTGGGCCCTGACAAAGAGCCATCTGTGTCTGGGGGATGTGCCCCCAGCTTGCCGGAACAGCCCCCTCCATCCCGGGGGCTCAGCCTCTCGGCACCCCTCACCCAGCAGGCGCAGACAGCCGCATCCCTGCCTCCCTTGCCGGGCTCCCCTCGTCCTAGGGCAGTTGACCCCCAGCCTGCTGCTGGGTGGGCCTAGGGGCCCCTGCTGTCAGCCAGTTCAGGCCCGCGGACACTTCCTACGTCTGGGCCCCGAAGAACCTTCTCTCCCTGGCTCTCCCAGCTCACACCCAGGGGCCCCATCCGGTCTCTGCCACTGTGCCTTGGTGCGGGTCAGCCGGGCAGACTGGTCAGGCTCTCCCCCTCCTCACACACCCCTCCCTCCAAACCACGGCCCCCTCCCAGCTCCTCTTACCTGCTCCAGCTGTGGCCCAGGCCACACAGGGCCTCGGCCCTCCACCTACTGCCCCTCAATGCGCGAAGTCACTTGTGGACCCCCCGCCTGCCAAGCCCCCGGCCATCCTCCTGACCGCTGGACAGGACCCTTCTGGAAACAAGTCACACACAGCTCTCTGCCTTCTGTGAGTGCCATTGAGCCAGGACACCCGGTGGCCCCGGGAACTTGATTTTTAGAACAAGTGCAAGCTCAGCGTTCTGGAGCTGTCCCTTCTCAACTGCTCTGTGGACCCAATACAACCCCACTCGACACCCCACGTGTCTGTGTGTGTGTGACTTCAGTGCAGATTCTGAGAGACACGAGGTGCAACAGGCCAAGTCGGGGAAGCGGGGCACACACGGTGGCCCCGGGGGCAGGAGGGCTCCGTCGTCAGCCCTGCTGATGCCGCCGTGTCAGCACAGGCTAGTGGCTTGGAAGCACAGAAGTACGGTTGCCTTCCTGTAGGCAGCGGCCCAGCCACCATGTGCCCCGGGCCTCCAGCCCCAACCAGTGACCTTAGTCCCCTTCTGCACATGACACAGCAGGTCCACGGGCCTGTGGCAGGGCCTGGGCGCCACCCAGCCCCTGCCGCCCCGTGGAGCAGACACGGCCTGGCCCGGCCAGCTCAGGGGGGCAGGCTCTGCCTGGGACAGGCCAGTGTCCATGAGGATGGTGCCTTGGGGACCCAGGGTTCCCCACGGAGATGTGAGGCAGAGCAGCCTTTGGGGGGCTAGGACCCCACACTCCACTGGCCTCCTCTGCTTATCGGGAGGCCCCGTAAAGACAGGGAGAGACAGGCCACAGGAGAATCCCTTTGTGACACTGTTACCTGTGAAGAGCAGGTGTGGGGGGGACAGTTTTGAGGAGGAGAGCGGGCCCGGGGCAGGCGCTGTGGGGCGGAGGAGACAGGGCAGTGATGTGCTGGGACCCGCTGGGTGGGCACCGGCCACGCAGGGCAGGGGCGGGCGGGCCTGAGCCAGCGCTGCAGAAGCAAACTCCCAGGCCGCCCGGTGGGAGGAGGTAGAATGGGTCCCACGGCAGCCGAGCCAGGAATGGACGGCCGTGGGCGAAGGCGCGGCCAGGCCTGGGGAGCTGAGGGGAAGGACGAGCGGGTCACAGGCGGTGACACACGGGGAGGCCATTGGGCAGCTGAGCAGCCCCCACGGCAGGACAGAGCCGCGGTCTGTGCAGGGGCTTCGCGGGGCTGCGTTCACGGGGATCGCAGCACCCGTGTCTGCCTCCTCGAGTGTTTTATACAACGCGGCAACAGGCCCTCGGGGAGCCCCGCGCGCAGGCGCACCCGCACTTTGCCCCCTGCGCCCCTGCACCCTTCTGCTGCTCCCGATCCTGCGTCCTTCTGGCCTTGAGCTCAACGTCCACGGCCGGCTTCTCCCTTCAGGGCAGGGCCTCCTCACGTGGTTGACCTTGGCCGGGGCTGGGCTTGGGGGCGTAGCTGGCTGGGTGGCTGGATGGTCTGGACCCGGCCCTCCAGGGCCCTGTGCGGCTCTAGCTTCCCGGCAGACACTGGCAGGGTGTTCCTGGGAATTGGATGCTTCTCAGGGGCACTTAGGGGAGAAGTCAGGTCCGAGGGGCACAGCTGGTGACCTGGTCCACAGCCCGCACCCCACCCCGGGTCCTCGCCTGAGGATGTGGCCCCCAGCCCTGCACCTGTCCCACACTCCCGTGTCCCCCAGAGTCTTGGGTCCTGAGTGTGGCTGGCCGCCCCCCACCCCCCCCATCCCTTCTTGGCCGAGCTGGCCTCCACTGCCCGTGAGCAAGGAGTCATGCAGTCCCTGAGGTGTGCCCGCCCTCGGGTGGGGGTCAGAGGCCTGGACAAGGGGCACCAAGTGTCCTGGGAGGGCGGTGAGACAGAGGAAGTAGGGTGCGTTGGGGGACAGCACAGGTACTCAGAGGAGGTCAGGCTTTCCTGGGGGGCTGGCTGAGGGCTTTGTTCCCAAGGACCCCTCTGCCCCTGGGTGAGACGTGCTGGGGCTCAGCGGTGAGGACGGTGGGAGAGGGGGAGGCAGGCTGGGGCCAGGGGCTCAGCGGTGAGGAGGATGGGGGGCTCAGCGGTGAGGTGGGCGGCGGGGGGCAGGCTGGGGCCGGGTTGATGGGACGTCTGGGGTCTGTGGCTGTCTTGGTTGTGGGAAATGTGAGCTGATGGCTAATGTTTTTCCTTCTGGTTTGTTTAGATTCTTTATAATACCCAAGATTTTTTCCCTCCCCTTTTGGGGACAAATTTTTCTTTTTTTTCTTTGTTGGTGGTGAAAAGCTAACATTAAATGTATGATCTCAACCATTTTAAGTGTATGGGTCAGCAGAGTTATGTGCATTCACACTGTTGTACAGTAGATCTCCAGAACCTTCCATCTCCCCTCCGTGCAACTCTGTCCCCATAAACACTCCCTCCCCACCCCTCCCCAGCCCCCGGCGCCCCCATCAATTTCCCGTCTGTATGGACTTGACTCCTCTAGGGACCTCAGATGTGTGGATTACAGTGTTTGTCCTTCTGTGACTGGCTCGTGTTGCTGAGGAAAATGTCCTCAGGGTTCATGCACGTGATAGCAGGTGTCAGAATTTCCTTCCTTCCTGGTAGAAGGCGCAGTAAGATTCCATTTATGGAGAGACCACATGTTCTTCATCCATTTCCTTCCTGCTGCTGTGGAACATCCCTCCCTCTCTCTACTTTCGCAGCTGTCTGGGTCGTCCAGGGCCGGGTGTGGGCGTGATGGAGATGCCCGTGCAGCCCCGGCACTGCTGGGTGGGAGCCGGCTGCAGGGGCCACGGGGGCGCAGGGCTTGTTTCCCCGGGGGCTCGGCAGTGAGGGCGGCTGTCCCCCGAAGTCACGTCTGGCGTCTGGTGCTGCCCTCACTCGGGGCTCCCGAGCTCCCTCCGTCAGTGCCCCGCACAGGAATCACTGGTCAAAAGAAATTTCTAACAATTCTGCTTACTGGGGCCAAACAGCTTAACGAGTATTTAGGTCCTAACAGCTTAGCAGCAACAAGATAAACCCACGAGCAGAAACCGAAAACCCCGCTGCCCGTCGCCGAGAAGCTTCGTCCTCACCAACTGTGATGACTTGCATTAGGGCACCTGAAAATGCTGGGCTCCGCACGGCTTTTCAGACCAACTGCACGCTGCGTCTGAACTGCGTGAGCCACGCTCAGCTCGGCCCGGCATTTGGTTTTGTTCAGTCACAGCAGTTGCTGTGAAAACAGCTTTGCGGAGCTGCCGCAGAAAGGAAAGCAGAGCCATCCAGCCTGCGATCCACGGGGCGTGTCTGGCGTATGGGGCCCGTTTCCCTCAAAACCCACCACGCCCTGTGGACTCGCTGTGGCACCTTTGGGTGCCCTGGCCCACAGTTTGAGAACTGCAGCCCTAGTGAAGGTGGGTGTTTGTGTGGTTTTAAAGCTGTGTGCACAGCTTACCACTCCTTCTGGCTCTTGTTTCCACATCACGGCTTAACCAGGGAGCAGAGCCAGGAAAAGATTTACTGTGGAAGGTTCTGTGATGCCCGTAGCGCTAACGCCTCACCCAGAGGCAGCGGGGAGGCCAGGTGGCCTTATTCTCCATCTTGGGGCACGCCCCGAGGCTTCTCTGTTAACTGCTGCTTTCCATGCATGAAGTTTGGCAACATTTAATTAATTAATTAACTAATTAATTTAGAGCAAGCGCACGAGTGGGGGAGGGAGAGAGAAGCTCCCAAGCAGACTCTGTGCTGTCAGCTCAGAGCCTGACACGGGGCTCGATCTCACGATGGTGAGATCATAACCTGAGCTAAGATCAAGAGTCTGACGCTCCATCAACAGCCACCCAGGTGCCCCTGGTTTTCTAACATTTAGAAAGTTTTCTTCCAGTCTTATTTTTCTAAGAGTTTTTTTAGAATCATAAACTTCAAATGCTTTGTGTCCTTCACTCGTCAAGTCATGATTTTCTCCTTCCCCCGTTTGTAACGAAGGACATTACACTAACCACACCTCCCGCCTTCCCGTGTTGAGCTGTCCTTGCATTCCTGTAAGTAGCTCTGTTTGATCACAATGGTTTAACTTTTTTTTTAAATGTTAATTTATTTGTTTACTTATTGAGAAACAGAGAGAGAGAGAGAGAGCTCAAGCAGGGGAGGGTCAGAGAGAGAAGGGGGACAAAGTTTCCGAAGTGGGCTCTACACTGACAGCATAGAGCCTGACGCGGGGCTCAGACTCACGGACCCTGAGATCATAACCTGAGCCAAAGTCGGATGCTCGACCAACTGGGCCACCCAGGCGCCGTGACGGTGTAGCTCTTTCACATCCAGTTGGTTTCACTTAGCTAAAACCTTACTTAGGAAGTTCATTGTCTATGTTCCAAATGAAACACGACCATAATTTTCTTCCTTCTTTTTCTCTTTGCGTTTTCCTTACTATGTTTTGGAATCCGGATTACATTGGCCTTGTCACAGCCTTTGCAATCTGTTTTCTGGAATAGCCTGTTAAGGTAGGCACCAACTGTTTCTTGAAAATTTAGTAGAACCATCTGGAACTTGGCATTGTTAGAAGGGAAGACTTTGGTTATTATTTCAACTTCTTTAACTTACCTGTGCAAAAATGAACTGTCCACATTTAAATATGATTTTGGTATTTTATATGAAAAATCTAAATGATGGTGTATCTATCTACTTTTCCTGATAATTCTGTTAATTACTGCTTGACATAGCTTGAGGCTAAATTGTGAGGTATGTATATATTTATAATAGATAAATCTTGTTTATTGTTCCTTTTTACCAGCACATAGTTTCATTCTGTGTGCTTTATGCTGCTTTTCTTTTTTTTTTTTAATGTTTTTTTATTTATTTCTAGGAGAGAGAGAGAGAGACAGCGTGAGCAGGGGAGGGTCAGAGAGAGAGGGAGTCACGGACTGAAACAGGCTCCAGGCTCCGAGCTGGCAGTCAGCACAGAGCCCGACGCGGGGCTCGAACCCACGAACCGCGAGATCATGACCTAAGTGAAAGTCGGACGCTCAACCGACTAAGCCACCCAGGCGCCCCTTTATGCTGCTTTTCTGCTCTAAGCTATGTCTGGTGGGACTGAGGTGATACTGGAGCCCGATGTTGGTTCATATTTGCATGGGACAGGCTGGTCTGTCCTTTATTTTCCAATGTTACTGTGTCTTAAGACAAAGCTTTTTTTTTTTTTTTTAAATACAGCATATTGTTGACTTATTTTATTCTGAAATTTTAAATTGTTTAAAAATGTTTATTTATTTTGAGAGAGAAAGTGTGAATGGGGGAGGGACAGAGAG